CTTTGGGTGAGATAGCAACAAACAGTTTTTCTTGACACCACTTAAACAACTCACATGCTAAGTACAATTTGTCTGGTTGATATCTGGCTTGCGCTGTTTAGCACAGTCCACAATTGTACAATTCAAAATAGTACATACTCCCTGCCAAGTTCTTCTTGGCCATTTGACCCAACCATCTGCCAGGAGAAAGGATGTTGGCACATTTTCAAATTCTGATTATTGATGACTCATTGTTAAATCACCAAGCTGCATATTATTTACAGCTTCCTGAACTGCTCTGATTGGAGATTACACAGCAATTGTTTTTCCACCAGATATTTTTAATTGAATGCTTAGCCATTAGCTGATTTTGCTAATTACTTACGATCATGTTCTCCAGTGCCGACTTGGCAAGCCAGCAGTTAAGGAACACTGGGACAAATATGTTCCTCCATGGGGGCCAAAAGATCTGAAAGCAACAAGGAACATTTGACATAAGGATCGTGTATTATTATTATTATTATTATTATTATTATTATTATTATTGACTTTTTCATCAGTATGCAAATTAAAGAAAGCTATTTAAACAGTGCAATTTAAGAAATTAAAAAACGTCATTCCTGAATTGGTTTTGCACTTATTGCTGTTAAATGCGTTCTATACATAATTTATATTTAAGACCTTAATCTCACAGGTCTTGTTAAGTGCACTTGTAAATGCAGACTTACATTCTCCACCAGCTTCACAGTAGTTACTGAATAATTCAGAGTTACTAAACAATGTTTATGCTTTAAGATAAATAAGCTGGAACCTTAAGGCGTTAAGATGTGGGATATCAAGAATTTTTTTTTTTTCAATCTTTTGGGTTTTATAATGACAACAAATTAGCCACTTACTGTAATTATGAATGGCACTGTATTGATCATCTCAAGGATGAAAGAAACTTGGAAAATCTGCTCAAAAATGTTTCCCTGAAACAAAATAATTAGCAAAACAATTACCCAAATAATAATTATCCGAGAATGGTACGGTCTGGTCCCTACTAATGGAAAACACTCATTCCTTCATTAGTGAAGTCCAGGCCACCATTACTGATTCCCATTATGCTGTTAGTTTAACATAATGTTTTTATACTGAAATGCTAATGTCTTGTTGATTTGAAAGCAGAATATTTTTCTGTTAATTATCAAACAGGAAGAATAAAAAGAACTGCACAAAGTAAGAAACCAGGGCCATACTTCAGAGAACTATTAGAGCTGAAGCTGGCCATATGTCTCAACACTGAGGGCCAGATGCACTAAGCTGTTTGGAGTTATTTCATACGTAATGAGACGTCATGTTGTGTATGAATGTGTGTTGTGTATGAAAATGGCATACAAGGCAAAAACAAAGCAGTATAGGCCAGGTGCATTGGGATATATTGGAACTATATTGAAGTTTGAGAACAGAAATCTGAGGCTACAGTGGGCACAGCTTCACCAAAACTGGGCAGTTGAAGATTGGAAAAATACTAGGTGATATGTTTCCAATCTTCAACTGTCTCTGTACACTGTAGCCTCAGATTAATGTTCTTGGCTGACAAGAGTGGAATCCAATGTGGTCTTCTGCTGTTGCTGTCCTTCTGCCTCAATATTTGATGTTTTGTGCATTTGGAAATGCTTCTCACCATGGTTGTAAAAAGTGTTTATTTGAGTTTCCATAGCCTTCCACTGAGCTCAAACCAGTCTGCCCATTTCTCCTCTGACCTCACAAATCAAGAAGGTGTTTCTGCCCACTGAACTTGCTGCTCACTTGATGTTTTTTGTTTTTCGCACCAATGTGTGTAAACTCTATGTCAGGTATTTCCCCCTCCGACACTCAGCACACTTAAACTGCCCATAGAACAACAGCATAAGTGTAAGAACTCGAGTGGCCTGCACAGAGCTCTCGCCTCAGCCCACTAAACCCCTTTGGGATGAACTGGAATTTTGACTGAACCCCAGGCCTCCTCACCCAACATCAGCGCCCGACCTCACTAATGCTCTTGTGGCTGAATGAACACAAATCCCCACAGCCACGCTCCAAAATCTAGTGGAAAGCCTTCCTAGAAGAGTGGAGGCTATTATAAGAGCAAAGAGGAATTAAATCTGGAATGTTCAAAAAGCACATATGGGTGTGATGGTCAAGCGTCCACATACTTTTAGCCATATAGAGTACATCAATTTCTTCACATCTAACCAAAAAATGTAAACATAATTTAAGCTAAACAGTTTAATTGCACACTTATATAAAGTAGATTACTTTACTGCGGTTTTTAAATCATTTTAATATGCACCTCACGCAGAGCATGTAGTAGCAGATGCCATGTGCAATTTGTGTAATAAGCTACAGCCTCAGTCAACAGAATGTTAATTTCAGATATTGCAAGTGCATTTCAAGTCTTGTTTGTGCTATGAGAGTATGCCTTCTGTTTGTTTGTGCTATGTGAATACGTCCATCTGGCCCTCAGAGTTCATTTGGATCAATATTATGCGAAACTGAAAAGGAAAAGGAGAACCGCAGAGACCATACCTTGTAACTGAGATATGTCAAGAGCATTGCTTCTAGGAAGCTAATTAAGGCCACTGTCACCTAGACCATAGGAAATACAAAAAAGAAGCATGTGTATAATATGACAGTGTAGAATCTCTTTCATGAACCAATTATGAACAGTCAAGAAGGCAGTAGAGTAACTCAGAGAGCTGCGTACCTGTATAGCCCATACAGGAGTCTTTCTGTTCACCCAGAATATCAACTCCCTGAAGAGGAAAAAACAAATATATATAGAGGACAGGAAACCAATCAACAATTCATGACCTCAGTACTGTAAGATTCTATCTGGCATTTTGGTCAAAAATGAGTTAACCACATAAACTTTAGCAGTAGGTCATACTTTATTTCCATGTAGTGTCCTTTTTTGCAAAGTTTTTGATGTAATATTTTTAAAAAATCTATCCGAAATCTATCCGAAAATCTATCAGAATGAATATGTAACATAGGTGGCTGTCGGCCAATCAAAATCCATGTTTTATTTACATGTTGACAATAGAGTGAGATGGTGTTTGCTGGTCTTACGATGTGTAAACTCATTGCAGGTGTTCAGCATAGTGTAATGCTAATACATTAGCTAACATCAGCCTTAAACGTATGCAATATGCAACAAACTGACCCTTCCAGTATAACTGGAATTAAAGGCAAATAGCAGACTTCATTTGTAAGATGTGTGTGTGTGTGTGTATTTTAAAACTAGACTAGAATGTTTTAGAATAAAGTATTAAATTAAAAAAATCTTGAACTTCAAATGTGAAATACATTAATTTTCGATTTTAGATAGTAAATTCAGAAAACTTATTTAAAAGCACATATGATCATAATTTTGTCTTAATAAGCTTAAAATGTTTGAGACTGAGGGGTTGTTTAATGAGAAAGAGCCAGATAGAATCTTATAAAAAAATCAAACAGTATATAAGCTTACAGGTTCGATCTGTGTTTAGTCACTCTTCAAACATCGTCGCAGAATTTTGATAATGTAGATTAGAAGTAAGCATACAGTGTACGCCTAGTTGAAATATAAATGTAGATTATAGTACTTTAGAGTTTTCTAGCTGGAATGTCAAATCTTTGATGCCCCATATCTCAAAACTGCCATTCACTCAGATAGAACCTTACAAGACTAAGGTCATGAGTTACTATAATGTACTGTAAAAAAAAAAAAAAAAAAAAAAAAAAAAAAAAAAAAAAAAAAAAAAAAAAAAAAAAAAAAAAAAAAAAAAAAAAAAAAAAAAAAAAAAAAAAAAAAAAAAAAAAAAAAAAAAAAAAAAAAAAAAAGGAAAACCAAGCCATGGACTAAATTGCACAAATGGGAGCTTAGGTATTCAATACTGAGAGAGTTATGTAGCACAAAAACATTTTTGGAAGAAAACACAGGCAAAAGTCTCACGCTGTACAAGGTGACGGCATTCCCTGCTGTGATTCCAAAGCTCGCTTAACACCCATCAGTCAGAGAATGGTAGAGTCAGGTGTGTTTTCAAATGAAAAGAGGGGGCAACACACAGCACAATCCTCACAAAGCTTAGATTAATGTGTGGATATTTCAGCTGAAATACTGTAACATACTCTATAATAAATAAAATTTAGTGTACAGTAACGTTGTGTATTACATGCACTGAGTTGCTAGTTTATTAGATACATGTCCCACTTTCACACAAATTGAAATTGACATGCAGATAACTGGACATCACATGTCTGCGATGTAGGAGTGGGCAACATGGCAAAAATATTATATCATGATATATGAAGCGATATTGACAATACACAAGAGATACTGACAATACATTGCTTCTACTTTTATTTATACCACAGTGCTGTCGGACACTTGATTCTGAATGAAGAACGCATTGATTAGTTTTCTATAACAGCAGCTCTAACAGTAGCACCAGCAGGAAGCCAAACCACAGGGATATATTAAAACGCTCCTTCTAAAACATTACCCCAGGGACTTGTAGCAGACCCTCCACACAATCTAAGACTAATAAAAAGATTTAAAAAATAAGAACTCCAGTGTCAGTGCTTAGTAGTACTTAGTAGTCAGGGAACGTAGCTGGTGAGGTAATAACTAACTAACCTGTCCTGTGGATGTTCCACAACAGTAAATGCTGGGGTATAAGAGGAATAAAACATTTTGGGACATGCTGTTATTGGAAAATGATTGGAAAACCACTTTGAGGTGGTACCCTGGCATTGATGATTTTCCTATAAAAGCACATTCTGTTGTGTTTTATTACTTCAACCAGCTTACTAAACATCTAAAAAATGAATTATTCAACAAACAAATGGAGGAAAAATTGAACTTTCATGCCAAAAATTATTTCAGCGTTCATTCAGCTTGTTACTCTGAGTAACATTAGAGTCAGTCAGTGGTATAAAACTACTAGATATACTGACAATACTTCAGACAAGTGTAACGCAGTTTATCAAAATATCATTATACAACAGTTACAGGGTCCCTGGAGGACTAGTGTTTGGGCCACGGCGTTCTCACCGCCGCGGCCTGGGTTCAATTCCCGGGCAGGGAGCCAAACCCCAGCCACTGGGACGGCACAAGACAGTGCACTCCCAGTGCCAGTCCCAAACCTGGATAAAACTGGGGAGGGTTGCATCAGGAAGGGCATCCAGTGCAAAAACTGTGCCAAATCAAATATGCAGACCAATGATTGCTGTGGCGACCCCTAATGGGAGCAGCCGAAAGAAGAACAACAACATCATCATACAACAGTTAGTTCCGGTCCACTAATGGCTTCCACTAAGTGCCTGTATTCCCTACAGCCGCACTGGGACATTTCACTGTGTGTATCACTCCGCTCGTCTGTGTTTGCCATGTAAAATTCCACTTCCTGGTCCGAAACTGTTACTACTGTTACTACAGTAGTGTTAGTGACATCATCAGCAAATGACACTTTTCAGGAATATAACTTTTGAGTCAATGTGAACTAGCTAGCCAGAGTGAGTGTGGCTGCTTCAGGATCTATTTCCGCTCTATTTCAGCAACATTTGGCCATATTGTGTCCGAAATGTCACTTGATTAGCATCACTCAATATTAATTTTTGGTTTATAGAACTGTTGTATAAAAGCAATACCGCACTCGCAATTGTGCAGTTATACTGAATATCGGCACGGCTGTGATTACCTACAGTAATCACCCTGCAGGCTCGTGCCTACGACCGAATCACAGTTGTGCCAATATTCAGTATAACTGCATGCTTGCTTGTGCGATATTGCTTAAATATAATACATCATATCACCCAAACCTGACGGACAAGCACTTCTAGTAGGGATGCATCAATATTAAATTTTTTCAGATGGAGTACAAGTATGAGTACATGTTTTTTGGCACTCATAAAGACCAGTAATAACACTGACACTGACATGAGGGTGTCATGGAACATTTTACTTAGCTTTGTTTATGTTGGTTGCTGCAGTGCACTGCTAGCAATGAAATCGTCATGCTGAGTTTGAGCAGTGTGAGCACAGAGCAGTATCAGTGAGTGTGGTCATTAAAAATGAGTGCAAGGTGCTGTCAATTGCACCTTCGCACCACGTCTCAGTGCTCCATGCTCAAAGAACTGAAATGCTCTCATGTGCAACAGTTTCTCTCATGGATACCTTACTGTATGATCAATTCAGATTTATTGCACCTTGCACTCATTTTTAATGACCACACTCTCTGATACTGCTCTGTGCACTCAGGTCAGCTCTCCTCTCACTCTTAATTAAAGATACTGTTTAAATGTCCTAAGATGTTTTATCACATCATTTGTATTGTAGGAAGATGTTGTAGTTATTTTAGCAGAACACAGTCTGCTTTTTTGATTATTAATCATGATATAAATCCAGACTGCTGTTATTTCTTGTCGTCTTTTCATTAGCATGGCAACATACTCTTGGCTTTGTCTAGGCATAGGATCACATGGTTTCGGATGTTGGTCAGAGCATTTTTTGTGAACATGAGTAAATGAGTGTGTTATTCAATTCAATTCAATTCAATTGTATGTATATAGAGCTTATAACAATGGACATTGTCATGAAGCAGCTTTACAGAAATCGGTATCGGTATCAATGCATTGCTAATTTCTAGTGTATAACTGAACACTGAAAATGGCAAAACAAGTGACAAATGGCAGTTGAATTCCATATTAGTGTGCAGATTGTTATCAAAGAACACACCATTTATCAGCTTCCCGAATGGGCTACAATAGCAGAAGATCATGTCAAGAGCTGATGCCAGTAAATGAACAAGAAACAGCATCTAAAGTGAGTGGAAGCATTAAAATTGGAATATTGAGGCTTGGGGGAAAAAAGACCATTTCAGGCTTGTAAGACAAGACAAATTTGCAACCATGCAGAGTAACAATATCTTCTTGGTACAACATTCCTGTTCAGTGCATGCAGAATCTTGTAGAATCCATATGCAGGAGAATCCTTGCTGTTCTGTAAGCCAAAAGAGTTGCAACATGCACAAGCTAGGTGTACCTAATAACCTGCAGCTCAGTGTACATAACAGTTATTTATCTCAATCCTGTAGCTACTCAGTGATGAAGATCATGAACTACACACAGCAAATGAGTACGCATCAGTAAATTCTCACCAGTTGATCTGGATGGGATCTGTCGTCTGATTGGCACAGATTTTACTGCAGAGAGCGTCAGTGACATTAGAGCAGTGCTTCCTGCAAGCACAGTAACACAGACAGACAGAAAATTAAGTTCACTTAAAAGTCGACACACTGGCAGTGGTGTAGCCAGGAATTAATTTCAGGGGAAGTCAGGAGATATAGCCTACTAAATTAAATTACCATGTGATCTGTACAATTAAACTGAATCTGTACAATTAAAGTCCTTTGAACTAATGCATGCCAGACAGTAGTAAGAAAAGAGATGGTATAAATTTGTTGTTTAATCATTTAAGGCACCATTCAACTAATCTTGTCACATTAATCCACTGAAAATTGTTAAAATAACATGGTAGTGTAGAACCTGGTGTGTGAGGGTACTGAGGAAGACTCGTGAGTCAGGCAGAATTTTAGCGGACCTCCAGGCTCGAGTTTATTTGCACCATGTTTTTTCAGCGCACTTTCAAAAACTCAATAAAAAAGACAAACCAATAGAACAGGGGCCATCACTAGCTCGCGGCTTTCGCCCAGTTCAAGTTCACGTTCTGCGGCATGTGTGTGTGAGTGTGTGTGTGGTTCTGGTTATGGCAGTCCTGAATGCACACAGAAATACAAATAAGTAGCCTGTCGGTAATAAGACACAAGTGAGAATCATCACGCTTCCTCTCTGTCTGCAGCTGATGCTTGACCACGCCCCCGCTGCCACAGGCAATAATAGGCAAGATGACATTTTATCTTATAAAAAGACGCCTAGCCTTTATTTTCTTTTCCTGCAGTAAATCTTCAGTACTTTATAGACTATCACCTCCATTTCCAGAGTGTATCTAGCAGATTTCAGAAATGGGAAGAATGTAAAATTCTGATTGGTTAATCCTTTTTCTCACAATAGCACCTGGTACCCAATAAAATGCGATTAAACAATCTAAGGGCTGTATTGGTTTGATATTTGGAGCAGTTAAATATGCAGTGGTAATGATGACCTCTGTTGACCTTTTATGAAGATCATTATAGTGTAATTACTCTGCAAAACATGTTATTTGACACGTATAGAATTAGTTGTTCTGTAAGTGTGTTAACCACATTTGGATCTGTCATAAAATATTTCAGGGGGGTTCAAACCGGTATAGACCCCCCCCCCCACACACACACACAGACACACACACACACGCACACACACACGCAACTATGCCTCTGGTGTCTGGTTTCTATGGGAACGTAGCAGTGCCTTTATATTTTAGTGTACTCTCTAGTCATTGTATGTTTCCACATTGCTCCAGTTCTCCACTCTCTCTCTCTCTTTCTCCCTCTCTCTCTCACACACCCACACGTAGGTGCACAGACACACATACACATAACACATAAACACAGAGTGCTTCATCGCTTCTCTGAGCCTAGATGTCTGCTGTTGATAGAAAGGGAAATGGACTGTAATGGGTTCATAACCAGATCAGACTTATTATTAGACAATGTGCTCCTGTAAGCAGTTTGTTGCTGTTATTCAGGTACAGCTGTCTAGGTCTGTTTACCTTTTAAGTACTGAGAAATCACTACATTTATTATATTGTCTTACCGTGCGCATGTGACTTGGGTGGTGGGGACATCCAGTGATACTCGGAGGATGTAGAGGAGACACGTTAATAACTTCAGCGAGAGGTTGAAAAGGCGTATTCTGAGGCCTACAAGACACAAAAAACAGTATAATCGGCTCTACTACAGAGAGTGCAGCTGTCAAGTTTCTTTAAAATGCATTCAAATTTTAATTACTTAAAAGGTTTAGCATTCAAATGCATTTTATGCTGCCACACACAGAGTGAACATTAATAGTAGAAAAAAGGCAATATCATAATTTTACCATGAACTCAGCTAATAGTTTTATATTTTAGGTTTTTTTATTTCTTAGACAAGCAGAAATCCATGTGAATCCCATTCTCTGGCTTCAACTCATTCTCATGTAGTGCACTATATAAGTCAGCAATTGTTAATTTACTTACATATAATATGACTTTTAAAATGATTTACTATTTAAATAGAAAGATGATACCTAACTGACAAGAGTCATTTAGCTAAAAAGTAAGGAATCATGTGTTTCAATACACATCTTAGGGATCTTACATCTTTGGGATCTCAAACATTTTAATATGAATTATTTTGCCTTCATATGCAAAATATAAACATTTTAACAAAGACCTTCATTCTGACAGCCCTACTAACGAGTATGTCTCAGTACTATATGCTTAAGAGGAACTAATTTAAACTGACTAGACATATAGTAATATAAATTACATAGTGCAATACCAGGTTAATAAAATTTAAAGGCACAGAGTTTTATAAAACCAAATTCTCCTTTTCATCAAACATGACACTATTTATCAGTTTTTAATAATACCAAATGGAGTGCCCTTTACTCTTCTTTCTGCTGATGAACTGTAAGAATATCAGCAGAGCACCTCACTGGACAATAAAAATGCTGAGAGGCTATTTAATTTGCCCTCAATAGCTCTAAATCCATAAAGTGTGTTTATTAAAAATGCTACTGCAGGTCTATAAACTTACATAACCCTTAGATAACCCTGCTCGAGCAGGTAGTCTGGTAGTCTTAAATCTTGCTCACTGTTCCTAGAGTTAAACTAAAGAAAAGGGGGGAACGTGCCTTCGCTGTTGTAGGCCCTAAACTCTGGAATAGCTTACCAGTTCATGTTAGATCTGCTCCTACTTTACAGGTTTTTAAATCTCTACTCAAAACGCATTACTTCTCCATCGCTTTCAATGTCCCTTGATGTTTCATCTCTGTTTTTGACTTGATGGCAATCCTGGTTCTATTTCTTATATGTTGTTACATTTTAAAATAGAGTCGTTGATGTAATTTGGTTTTTAGCTGCGATTTTATTTATTTACTTTGTTATGTT